GTCGTTTCAGGGCCTTCTCACGTCCCTGATTCCGAATATGAAGTCGAGAATGCGCGAAAACCCCGACAATCCCCGTTTCGGAGAACCCACAGGCCGGCTTTCCGCAATTGTGATTGGATGGGCGCGCACAAATGGGCGGGCATGGATGGGGGAGGGCGGGCATGGATGGGGGTCCTCGTGCATCTTCGCTATTCCGAAGCGATTTTCTCGCTTCCGAAGCGGCATTTTGCGCCGCCACTTGGGCAGTGGATTGATACGGGGCCCTACTATTATATGCTGCCAAAAGCTCAACATCCTCAACTTAGGGTGGACGGTGACTTTAAGATAGCATTACTTGAAGGCCTTGTCGAACATAATGGGCAAAAAATAACTCCTGTAGACAAAGTGTGAGCGAATTCTGAAGATTCAAGAAACTGGGCTACCTAAGTAAAATGGTCAAATTCCAACATGATTAACTTTGTTTCAAAGGTGAATTAGCTATCCGTTTTTGCACTCAAGACAAAGCACTACTCCTTCTTTGTAAACCTCAGGAATCCCGCTCTAGAAGACCTCCAAACTGTGCAATTAGAAGCCAACCAAAATCTCGTTTTTCCCATTTTTCGCTTTTGATCGCTGAGATTTCACCAAATATTACTCAGGGCTAAGAAGACGAATCAGGTTTAAAACAGTCCTATGGAATCTACAAGGTTTAGGCTATCGATTCATATAAATACTGTCCGCTAAAAATGTTTTTTTGATATAGTTAATGGGGTGCGGCACATAAAGCTGCGGCGGCCGCAGCTTATATGAATCGATAGCCTAAACCTTGTAGATTCCATAGAACTGTTTTGAGCCTGATTCGTTTTCTTAGCTCTGAGTAATATTTGGTGAAAGCACAGCCATTAAAAGCGAAATTGGGAAAAATGAGATTTTGGTTGGCTTCTAATTCCACAGTTTGGAGGTCTTCTGAAGCGGGATTCCTGAGGTTTACAAAGAAGGAGTAGTGCTTTGTCTTGAGTGCAAAAACGGATAGCTAATTCACCTTCGAATCAAAGTTAACCATGTTGGAATCTGACCATTTCACTTAGGTAGCCTAGTATCTTGAATCTTCAGAATTCGCTCACACTTTGTCTACAGGGGTTATTTGACATGCTAATTATGGATAGGATACGAATATCATGTTATCATTATTATCAGATTACCCAACTACGACCCCCTTCCTTTTGACTCCTCAGTACGACCCCCCAGGTGTGGCGTGCCGCACCCCACGCTTGACCCTTAACATGACCTGTCTTTATGGTCCCTTCAAGTCGCATAAAAATCATAAACATATTGCAATCACGGAACTTTTACTCTATATAGTAAGATTAGAGCTAGAACAACTGTTACTAGAAGAACGAAAAGATTTCTGGTTTGTCAACGTCGAACAAAATCAAAAATGTCAAAAAATTGCATTTTGTGCCGCCTTAGAAAGAGCAAAATAGGTGGGTCTTTTCGGATTTTTCAGCACAAAATTTTTATGAAGGAGTTAGATGAAATCCAAAGTTAGCAGTACTACTCAGTCGACTATGGGCTTCACTGTGAGCAGTGCTTGCGCAATCAGCTATATTCCAAATCAAGTTATGCTTTTGCAAAATGAAGGTTTCTACAAAGAGATGTTTCTCGATTATCGCCTATAAAATCTTCTCCATTGTTACTGCAATAATCTCAAAGAGTGCGCAGAATAGCCAAAGATTTGCAGATTGTGATACAATTTATAGCAATTGCAAAGATCATTTCTGAGAAGCGTTACGGTGAATCAAAGTCAAAGATCGAAAACGGGTAAAACTTTTGAAACAACCCAATATTATACGAAAATGGAAAAACTCCTAATATTGAATTTTGAATGCGAATATATTCGAATGTTTTATTCGAATAACGAACTTCTATTCGATTCAGACACAAGTATAGTGAGCAAATTGTTCTCGACAGAGCGCAAGTGTGAATTGAATTCAATTTTGAAATTTTCTAATCACAGTTTAGAAGATGCACAACGAGTAAAGCTAGCAATCGAAGCGAAGCATAAGCCTCACTATAGTTCATAATAATGTGGTGAAGGCTTTCTTGACATATTTACCACAAGCCATTTTTCAATAGCTGCCATTTTTTGCCAGAGCATATTTTGCTAGGTCGTCTAGACCACGACCCATTGACGGTATTCTAGTTAAAATGGCAGTCTTTTAGAAAGGATTCTAGAATGTACACGTCAAAGTTTGCAAAATTTGCCCAAAAGTTCCCATCGTAAACAGGACTCGTCACAACTGGCACCGGGTCAAGCTGGATATCTTTTCGGGACAAATAGCAAAGGAAAGGCCGAAAAGACACAAAAATTGCGACGTTTTTTGTCGACTTTTCATTCTTCTAAATTTTTTTACGTTTAAGGTTTAGGGTCAAAGGGGACTTTGTACGAAATTTTCAAGATCAAAAGGTGTTTCATTTGAAATTTCCCTGAGCCCGTAGTAATCCCCCCCGTCGTGAGGGTCGCGATGTTCGCAACATCACACGTACCCAGCACGTGTTATTTCGGCCGCGATTCGCTGCGTGCCTATCTCTTATCACAGCCGCGCGGTGAAACCGCTGGAGTCGTGGACGTCATCACGCAAGGGGCAGAAAAATAAAAATAGTGGGCCCAGAGACGCAGGAAGGCGCAACCGACTAGGGGTCGAGTATACTGTGATGTTGCTATACCATTTTCGTCCTGTGCGCAAGGACCGTAGACACACAGCACTAGGTTTAACGCACGCAAAAATAAACATAAGATAGTTATTTGTATGCGTATTCTATAGCCGATAACCAAGATTGTTAATACGCTTTATTCAGTCAGGTCAGCCCAAAGTTTCGGTGCCTTCACTTTCGTGATTGTGCAGACGCTGTGTTTGGTGGTTACGCAACCCTGATTCGAAGTGCCGAGGCTCTGACGAAGGTGAAGGACCGAAACGTTGGCCTGACCTGACTGAATAAAGCTATCAACAACCTCGGTTATCGGCGAATAACTACCTCATGCCAAGATTCATCGATAGTCGAGCTCGGACTCTAAACATATGATAGTTTATTTTTGCGTTTTATGCCTACTTGCGTTACATGTTTCTGTATATCCTTCACATTTGCTTCATCGGGTCAGGTGACAAAGTTCTAATTTACAGACAGCAACGCTGCGGAAGAAATAATGTTATGGCTGTGATTTACTGAGACCCAAAAACGCCTAGAAATGCTGTTATTGTTCTGCAGTGTTAATTCAGGTCGGCGTGTGCAATGCTAGCATAGCGGAAATGGGTCAACAAGCATCTAGAGATCGACTGATGCTTTGGCACATCTTTCGAACAGCAAAGTATATCAAGGATAAGTACAGTGTGAGTTTAGCGTACCGGATACCACTTTTTGTGAAGCGAATATAACGGTCGTTATTGTGCACATTTTTATGATCATTGGAAATTCATGTACCTACGAGATTTGACTGCATTATTACTATCTATTATTTGAGGCTTCGTATTGGCATCTCATTTCATTCTAACTGCACCTCCAATTTTTTGCTCTATTGAATGCTCACAACTCCTCTCTACAAAAGTCCCGCAGATAAAGCAGGCAGATTTGGAGTTAGCATTTTGGAGTCAGCATTTCATGCTCTCAATATCGTATCATACGATCCAAAATGGCCACCTCGACCAAAACATGCTTTCCTTGTGAGTAGTGAGCTGATTTAGCGCAGTAAAAAGCTCATAACTCGCTTCAGTATATGTACTACAGCTAGAACAGCATATTCTGAATCAGAGTTTCAAGCTGATTCCCATAACAGAAGTCTTTTTTCAAAATACAGTCCACGTAGGAGCCTTTTCTTATAAGCGGAAGCCAGCTCTACAAAGTAGCATTCGAATATCGGCAAAAGGCATTCAGTCGAGTGTGATACTCCCAAAAAATTGGGGTCATTTTTGGAACCTCTGAATATACAGAATCCAAAATCACATTATCCCATACAATTTTATGAAGTCTTACTAGGCTGTTGCATAAGTTCTGTCCGATTTTTTTGCCTCATGTTTGAAGCAGCTGTTCTAAGAGAATTTCATCTCTAATTCGATATGGTTGGTATCATTGAAAAGTGCTTTCCTTGCGCTTTCTAAAGCATACCAGAATTCAATAAAATTCTTAGTGTACGGAGATCACAGGCCTAAAATCTCTAAGTGGCCGAGGTACGTTCTATCCCTAGAAATATGTCCTTGCGAGGATATCTCCACAATGCGCCCTTCAAGTCAGGTTCTTTCATTGGCTTCGGAATAAGGGTATGGAATGCTAGTATATGCAGAAGTTCGGTCCCATGAAGAATACGTCTTGCTAGTGAAATTTATCCTCGAACATAAATCTTTGGTATAGATGTTTTACAAGCAATAACTTTCTGCGAATAGAAGTAATCGAAAAGCTCAAAGTTGGAGGTGCTAGGGCAAAGCAAGAGCTAACAGGGCCCATCCACCAATTCCTTTTCGGCGCTCACGTCAGTTGTAAAACGTTCGTAGTTCATAAATAGGCATGCACACATGTGCTGAAGCGAGGTCAAAAAGTGGCTAATTTTTTGTTCGGTCAAAAAAATCTCTCGGCAGCGCAAACCCTATGGGCTCTTTTATGTTGCATAATAATCTACGAAAATTTCTCTATCCATCCATTATTAGAAAAGATGCCTATCAATTTTCATAAGGGAGCGTTACCATGTCAAAAAAGACAGATTCGAAGAAAAACGCTGCGAAGTTTTTGCATTCTTGGTTCTTCCTTAACAAAGATTTGCGCAGATCTCAATATGCATTTTTTAGCCAAGGGACTGCTCAACACATAGAAACTAAGACCTTGGAAAAAAGTTGACTCTGAAAGAAGTTATGACATTTTAAACTCAAAAATTCAAATCGGGCAGAACTTATGCAACAGCCTAGTACATCAAATCAGCAATGATGATCGTAGATTTGATATTCAAATACCAACTGTTGTGTCAATGAACTTACCTGCTTTTTGAAAGACGGGGACTGACACACATTCTGGCTGGGGATTCTTGGCGAATACCAGGCTGAATGTAAGTTTATATTGGCAAGCATACAGATTGTTTTTCTAATATTTTCCTTGATAAGTTTGCGTTGTCTTTCAAATGCATAGGACCCTTATGTTGCAGACTCAAAAGTGAAGGCTGTTTGAATCCTTGACCTTCATAAATAGTGAAGTTGTTGTTTCTAGTTAAGTGGAAAAGAGAAAAAGAAATAAATTGCATAGAAACATGAACAATGGCCGCTTCGCACTCAAGGGAAAATGATGAAAGGCTGATTCCTTTTCGCGATATCTCGAAAACAAACACGATTTAGAGGTGGCAATAGCTTAAAAGAGAATGAAGAGGAAACAAAATAGTCATCAGAACAAAAAGTTTTGTTTTTCTCTTGTCAAAATGCACGTCAAAACGGATCTAAATTTTTATGCGTCCTTCAAATATTTACCCCCGTCCTGTCGCTCATGTTTTCGGCGTAGACGTCTGCATTATTCTGCTCACTATCGAGCAAGAAAGGCTTGCTTCGGACTGCAGTTGCTCCAGCAGCTACACTCGATCAGTCATTTCTTTTGCTGCCCCAGTATGACTGCTCTTACTGCAGCGACTGCAGTATAAAAGAACTCAAACCCTCGAAGGCACCGACCACCAAATTTTCAACTATGAGTTTTGTTTCTTCCGCATTTCTTGCGCACGCTGATCCCGAATCCCAATCTAACGCCCATATGCACGTACATCCTCGCTGGGGAGGGAAGGGGATCTGAGAGGGAACGCGTCATATCTCGCTACTCTAGGGGTACTTTCCTTCTTCCTTCTCTATGTTGCTTATGAAGGCTCTCATACTCTAATACCTGCGCACAATGATGCCAAGTTATTGGCATGCTTGAAAAAAATCCAATCAATCATGTCAGTAACCTGGCATCAATTATGCGCAGGTATTAGGATATGAGAGCCTTTATAGAAATAGAGAAGGAAGAAGAAAGATACTTAGACTAGCGAGTTATGACGCATCCCCTCTCAGATTCCCACTCCTCTCCAGCGGCGTATACGGGCCCTAAAAGTTTCAAATTATCAAGTTTCAAATGCCCTTCAACGTCCATGGTGACGGAAACTCCCTGCTCTGCCGGTCAGGCATGGGTCAGCTGCAGGCCAGCTGCAGAAGACGCAAAGGTGCGCTAGTCACTTGAGCGCTCTCAGATTAATGGTCGATTTTTCAACCTACTCACTGCTAGGGGAAATGGGACGAATTATACTCAGTGGGGAGGAGCCGACCTGCCGAATTCGTCTTCCAAAGCGATTTTCTCGTTTCGAAAGCAACTTTTGGCAGCGCGAGTGGGACAGCCCAACTCGCGCTGCCAAAAGTTGCTTGTCCTCACTGCCAGTGATACAGTTGGGGGCCCCTACTGGTAAGCATGGGAATCTCATCAACTCATTTTCTGTGGAGGGCGCCTTTGAGCATGAAAAAAATGTTTGCGTCTTACCCCAAAAAAGAGCTATGAAGAATAGCGCATCAAGTTCGCAAAAATTCAATTATAATAGTAGAAGTAAGCTCGGCGATTTGTCTGCATCACAGACAAAAGCAAGATCTATCGAATCTACGAGAAACTACGTGAAAAGAACTGAAATGAAGAAAAAAACGAGAGATTTCTGAGAGCATTAGTTTTGTCAGATTTGTCGTTCTTGTCAAATAAATGGGTTCGGCGATGTTGTAAGCATGAAAGTAGAGTTCAAAAACTACGACATAATTTGCAGCTTCAACATTGGGTCCAGAATTACAGAGAAGGGATGCCAGATCCAAATGATCCAATTCTTGAAAATCACTCCTCAACGAGTTAGACTAGCATTTCTGTGCGCGACTCTGCGTAATTAAAGCGTAGTTTTTCGATTTTTATTGGACCTCAACAGCCTTTCTTTTACAACTCATTCATAGTCTAAAAGAGTTTAGTCAAGAAACGTCCTCATTTCCAGGGAAACTCACACAAATTTTTGTTATTAGCACAAATCAGGCTACAAGAACACAATCTTTTATCTTTGCTGGAATATGTTATTTTTGAACTACCCTATTTTCCGGCTTATAAGCCGCGCCTTATATAAGCCGCACCCGCCGCAGCGAACAGTAGCGCGAAAGCGCCTCCAAAAAGATTTCTACCAAAGTGAAAACTCGGTGCTTTTCGTGAGTCTTCTTCAGTGCAAATAATCATAGCTTTAGTTTTTTTTTTCATTCCCTTCGATGCGTATCCTGATGTTGGTATCGCAGGTGAGGTCCCACACAGTTTCAAACTGAAAGCACAGATTGTGCTGCCGAGAATGGAACCAGCCAGGTTTCCTTACATTTCGTCGTCTGTGGCAAAGTGAACAGGAGAAACTCATAAAATGCGACAGTACCAGGAAAGTGTTCAGAAGACACCTAGCAGATGGTCAGCATTAGGAGAAGAGTTGAAAGGATAACTTAAGGGGCAGCGAGAGAAATGAACAAGAGTTGAAACCGTAATGAGTTGAAAGGATGACTTAAGGAGCAGCGAGAGAAATGAACAAGAGTTGAAACCGTAATGATGAATGAAAAGGTAAAGATTCTCGTGAGTTGCAATCGAGAAGAAACCAAGAAAAAACGAAAGCGGAAAGTTAGTAAAGGGCTACTAGATGAGAAGACAGTAGTTGGCTGCTTGTGCGGCTTCGCGCATCGCGAAAGGCATCGCATTTCAGCTCGCTCGCGATGAAAATAGATGCGGCTTATACGCCGGAAAATAGGGTAATACTATACAAGGTGTCCCAAAAATAAGTACACGCTGTTTAATCGTCAATGACTCTCTTCCCACTAAGTCTTTTCCTTAGCTTTGAGTGCCATTCATTAGAGGAGGCTTCAGCTTTGGTCTACAGTATTGAGCGAATCGCTCTTTATTACCGTAGGATTGGTAGGAACTTTTAGCATACAGCAGCACTGTGAAATGGACGTTCAAGCAAAAAGTTCCAGAAAAGATGTGGAAAGTTGTGAAGCAGTGTTTTCAGACTTGATGACTTCGTCAGATCAAATGGTCCAATTAACATTTTTTGAACAGCACTACAAAAAAAAGTCGTGGCGGTTTACTTGGCATAACTCATGGAAAAAGCCTTACAGTAAAGTGCGAATTTTAATTAAAATCAGCGAATCAGTCTACTAATGATAGACTTTTCGGCCATTTAAGTATCTATTCTGAGGCAATAATATGTAGGCAATAATATCTCAAAACTCTCTCAAAGTTCCTATAGTAATCCTACAGTAATGAAGTGCGATGGGTGATTCCCTCAATACTGCAAATCTAAGTTGAACTCGTCTACTAAATGGTACTTGAAGCTAAAGAAAAGACTCAGTAAAAAGTTATAAACGATCAAAAAATTTGTACTTACTTTTGGGACACTCTGTGTAGCTTCCGATTAATCATGAGTTTTGCACGGGTTTCCTCCCCGATGTCTTTTGTCATTTTTGACAATGAGTAAGATTTTGTTGTATGGATCTATGCATCGAATGTATGCGTTGATAGCTCTCTCCACTGCCTTTCGCCAATTTGTAGATTATTCTGTAGAATCTGGCTTCAGCTTAGATTCACAGAATGAAGCGAATCAACGATTGCTTTTCATTACGCAGGAGTGCTAGGAATTGTGAAGAGGGTTTTGAGCGATTGAAGACCGTAATGTATTTCGGAAATTACCTAACAAGCTAAGGAGTCTTGCGCTAACATTATGGGAGTCGCTGAATCTGCAAAATTTTACAAGTCAAGCCAAGTCCACCGTAGCAAGTGATTTCAGCGTTCCTCAATACTGATTGCACCATTTACAGAGCTTAAAACCCGAAAAGTCGCGTGCTGAAATAGACATGCGTGAAAACCCTACTGCACAACTTCCCTCAATTTTTTTGGAAATATTTTAGATGGCATATTTATAATGGCGCATTATGATTTAAGTAACTGGTCAAGTTACTAATTATTTTGCAGCAATGAGGAGAGATCGGTGATTTGCTTTATACCGTAGACCTAACTTGAAGCCGCTCTACAGAATCGTACCTAAACAGATGAAAGGCATTATAGCACGAGAGATACAGGACAAACAGCCTGTCCCAGACATCCGTTATGTATGGAATGCGAAACGCCTTTTAGAATGTGTCAGTGAAAACGGCGAGGAAAACCAAGTGTTACCTGCGAATGGGCGCTGTTCCATCAGGAAAAGCTGCTTCGGACTTCGTAAAGATGTAACCATTCTTTTTGTACATATGTACGACAGTCAAAGCAATGGTGTCCTTTGCCAGAAGTTCCCTCATCCTAGTCTCGCTCTGTTTAATTTTTGGCACTGGAAGAGTTTGAAATTCCACTTCTGGCGCAAGTGGTAAGCAGTGTGGACATGCTGGCAGTGTAAGCTGACAATCAAGCTGGTACATATTGTTGCCGCCATCCTGATGAGTTTCTCCATCCTTGAAAATGATGCAAACACCCTAAATGCTCATCCTCAATCATCCCTCATCTAAAAAAAATGCCTCGTTAAAAATCAACCCATGTGCTTCGCTGCAAATGAATGGTCTTTCGAAAACTTCTCCCACACATGCATGACACCGCGACACGATCCTTTTGCTGCCACTGACGCTTATGAAGACATTATCTCCCAGAACTGAAGTCTGCCGGATTTCTGTGAATTTACTAGGGGAACCCTCCTATTAGGCCAACGGTCAGGTCCCATTCGTTGAGATTTCGCTTACATAGAGAATATCAGACTCCAAGTGGTTTTGGCGCGCTGGACGAGTTGTCGCTTTTCTTATCACGTTTTGACACATCTTATCAAGCGACGCCGTCCTCCTTTTCATGTTGAACCTTGTGGCCAAAATCAAACTGTAGCAGGACAACTCGTCCGCGTTGCTTCTACGGGGTTTTCGGAAGTCGGGTTTCTAGAATTTCTACGCGGATTTGAGCCCGTATAGGGTTATACAAGGTCGGAAAGCTTGAAATTTGCCAAAATATCAAGTCTTAAATTTCGGTGGGGCATTGTCTTTGCGGTTCAGAACTAAAGTCATGTCAAAGGTAGCGCAGAGGGGATGTGCAGAGGTGTAAGCATCTGTGGAAATTTTTCCAACAAACGCACAGATAATGATGACCTTATTAACCTTTTGATATTCCACATACGTGCAGTTTTCCTCTTCATAACAGGTAAGAAGACACCAGTCTTTGTCCTTCTTCAACATAGCATAGATGACATCTGCCACAAAATCGTCTTTCTGATCTTTGAAGGTGCAGGAAGACGTTCCGTGGACCTGCGCAATAAACAGATGTGAATGTCACTTTTTGTCAAAGACTATCCTGTGATTTTAGCGTACTACATATGTTTAGCACCTTTAAACCTAGAAGGAGAAATTAGCACATTGGCCATTACCTGCATCACTAACAGTGCAATAGCGAGTGAGATGCTCTTCGAACACATGATCTGAAAGTGAGATAACGTTCAGCATTTTTTTCTGAATTGTAAAAATTGAGAAAGAAGTTGCTTTTCTGTGACTGGCTTGCCTCCAAATGAATCTTAACTAAAATAAGGATTTCTACTTACAAGGTCTTATAAGAAGCAGTCTGGCATTTTGACAAAAGCACAAATTTTTAGCATTACTCTAAAACGCTGAGTTCAATTCAACAGCTGCCGTTGCATGATAAGGCTAGTCACACCCGTACTATCCACTTCAGGCAAGTCTACGAACCAAATTTTTTTCATAAACTGGAGGCTACGATGACTTTTTTGTGTGGATCACGAAATTTTACGTATAGCAACGCAGCAGCTTTTACCCATTTAGAACTCTATCTAGATTTATCTTTAGAAACAGAGCGAATCATATTTAGGCTTATTGAGAAGATATGTGAGAGACTGGAAAAGATGAAAAAAATGCAAGTTAGTATTGCAGCAGCACTTTATCCCCCCCCTCCCCAACATTTTAAATATTGGAAGCGTTCATTCTAAAGCTCAGTTAGAAGAAACTTGGCTTGAATAAAGGTAACGCCTCTGCGCGACTCTTTTATACCAGCGGTTGCCAAGGCGGAGGAAGGAAAGGGGCGGAGACGAAAACAGAAGCGGGACTGTTTTTTTTTGGAAGCTGAGAGTTTACAGAACTTACCAGATTTTTTAACAAAGGTGATATCAGAAACGTAAGCTCGTGCAACGCTCCTTAATGCAAATCCACTATAGAAATTACTTGATCAAAACAATCTTGCTTTAGTTCAATTTATTTCAAAAGCAAAAAATTGATAGAAGAAATAAAAACATGAGAAAGTTCTACGGTTTTTGCGCACTACAATGGACATAAGCTTTGACAAATAAGCTTTTCAATAGCAAGCATTGATCTATCCTATTTACAGTTCATGCACAAATTCTATGAGTGTTACATATAGAACTTTACAAAAGATTAGAAGAAAATTTTGTCAAGTTGGCAAATAAGCTTTGCTATACATTTACAAAACTCAAAAATCTAAAAAAGCTACTGAGGTGATTTTATGGCATGTAGATGTTAGGGGTCAAAAGCCTATTTATTTCTACGATCTTGTCCAAAAAAAAGCGTAAACCAATTTCGGCTGAAAGTCTGTTTTTGACCATTTTTGTGCGGTTGCTTGCATTAATATAGTACAATGGACACTTTGAGTTTCAAACAATTGTGACCCACCCAACCAGTCAAAATTCTTACATTAGCTAACCAAAGTCAACGATTCTGAAATCGAAACTGGCACCGTGCTGTGATGCTGCTTCTCCAGGTACACAGTAACAACTTTTTTCAAACGTCCGTCAGAAACTTGATTATTGTATTAATTAGTGGTTGGGATATACTCAGAACTATGGAGCTTCGAATACCACTTGTGAATTACAACCAGAGATATTGCCACGCGGGATTTCGTATAGCACGAGCAACCTCAAACTTGAGTAATTAAACTTTATCAGAAAAACAAATAACAACGACAAACACGGATAGAACAAATAACAGACTATACCATTAAACGATGAACTACAAATAGGAATGATATGGAGGCAAAGACAGAAGGCACAAATACATGCGTGAGATAATGTTAAAGCAATTGAGCGAGAGTCGTACATGTGAATAACTGTGACTGTGCACTCTCAGCTACTTATATGAGTACGATCACATCATCAAGCCACGTTGCGCGCGACATCCTACTGTTAGCTAAATCTGACGCTAAAATCTGCAAATTCCTCTAATAGCGAAAACGATGCGAGTACTAAATTCATCTTTGCTGAACAACTTTCAGAGTATTCAACCACACAGATGCAAATAACCAGCGCATCTTGGGGCAGTGAAGAATGATATGAATTGCGAAGTTCGTATAATTCCACTAAAAGTAAAGTTCGTATAAATCCAATTCCAATTTGTTCTCCAATGAAAGGAATAAAAATAAACCTGTGAAAAGTTTTGTAGTGAAATAAGCATGTACGAATACCTTGCCACACTATTTTCCACATTTTTTGAGGAACTTTGTCAGGATGTCAGGAAGTTTGTCAGTTTGCCCATTCTACATTGATTTTTTGTGGCAGAAGTTTCTACTGTAGCCTGCGATACGCCAAAGCGATGATTTGCTTCATACTGTAAGTCTAAGCTGAAGTTTTCCAAACTGATTATTTCGGGAGAACGCATCAAAAGAAGAGGGGTACTGACGATCAAATATGTGCACACTTCGTGTACCCACCACATAAGAACAAAAAATTTTCAGAAATTCTTCAATGTTTTCAGTACGTATTCACTCCCATTATTGAGACGACAGAGGCATAAGATTGGTTCCCTGAAAAAGAAGGGTAACGGACACTTTGACTTTTTAAAGAGGAAACACTACAGAGAAGAAATCTTATGAAACAAAAATTTGAGTATGCTTACAAAATTGTCAACTTGGTGAATTGTATGCCCTGACCTCCGAGCATGGAGCAAATTGATGTGAGCAATGTAGGAAGCATCTGAAACTTTTCGGTGTAAAAAAAGGTGTGATACGGTGTGGGACAAAAGTAAAGTCTGGGAGCTTAGTAATTTAACAAATAAAATCAGGAGGACACCAGAAACAGAAAGTTTGGTGAGTGCACACATGATCCGAACCTTTATAAATACAGTGCAGCTTTCAAATTTTGAAATTGCCTCTTTGGCTTCAAAGCAGCCCTTCAAAATGCTGGCAAATCTCTCTGTCGTGATTCAGTCCCCGCTGCGCTCCTAAAACTTTCAAATTTGTTTTGAAGACAAATAATCACTGACACGCCGGTAATATTTTATTTTGCGTTTTCGAAAGAATAGTTTCTGGCAAACGCAACTACTACGATGTGATAGCGTCAAGCCTTCTATACATTGTATGTATCGAAGTGTTGTAGAATGTTCGCAGTATCTTTAGCTACGAAATAACTTGTGAGTACTAAACATTTTGACTTTCTCGTTCTTCAGAAGCACTTGCTTGGTAAAATCCTCTTATAAATACATATGGCAAGTATCTTCCTCTAGGTAAAGTGTGGTTTTTAGAGGATGTTCGAATGGACATTATGGGCACAAATTTGGATGGATAGTTGCAATTATTTTGCTATGCCGTAACAGGTTTTAATGGTGACACAATTTTATTGCCTGAGGTTTCGGCACGACGCCGTCTTCAGAGGCTGAAAAGTTGTCAGTCACAATAATACAATAATACATTCTCAGCCGCCAAATATCTCCTCCCATTTGCCACTCGATTCATCTTAGGCGGAAACAGAGAGTTTGGGAGGAGGTGTCAAGCCACCAAGCGTATCACCGTTAGCTCATAGCCACTCGAGACGAATCGACTGTTGTGACTGAGTGCGACAAATGAGCAACCGAGATGACACAGTGCTGCTTAAATACGAGTTAACAGCAGTCTTATAGTTCGCAAAACGATAGATACGGTAGCATGTCGCTCGTAATAGACAATTTTTCATTCTTGCCGTTTGGTTTCGGGTCTTGGGCAAGGATATAGGCTGCCTCTAAGGCCTTTCGCGCAGAAATTTGATGTTTGTAGGCTAAAATTTTGCAGCTGACTTCGTAATCGGTACCACCATGTTCTACCATTCTATGCTTTCCTAGTGGACTTACCATGCTTTGCCTCTTTCTGCTGGCTAAATGTTCGTTGGCCCGTACACCTAACGGTCGGCCGGTTTCACCTATATAGATGGCAGAGCACTTCATGCATTCAATTTTACAAATGACGCCAGATTTCGTACAATCTCCAAGTTCTCCGAACGGGCAGACTACGCAATCACGTGAGATACAGGCTTTATCATACAACCTGTTGCGGAGCA